AAAAATGCGCGACGTAAAAACGGTTTCCCGATTTGCCTGGCACCTCCCCCACCGTCGAGGCGCCCTCCTCGAGCGGACCCCATCAGAAGCGAATGCCGCTCACGCCGGATGAGTAGAGCACGAGCGGCGCGGCGTCGGGGTCGACGAGCGGCAGCTGTAGTGTCACACTAGTATGGGGTCCCATACCATCTTACCTTATATTTCCCCGCGGCCGGTTTTCCGTTTCAGCGGAGTGAAGCCGCCACCCAGCACAAAAGTGATACCAACACACCTCTCAGCTCACCGAGCTCTCTGGCGGGGAATCATGACGGCGAAGGCGGGCTCTGGCATATCGGTGATGCGCGCCGATCTCGACGCGTCGACCTCGACGGAGGTGGACGCGCACGAGGCGCAGTGTCGGGCCGGCGTCAACCGCCAAGCACGTCCAGACGCCGCCTCTCAAAGGCGGGCGGCATCATTGGCTGCTGCAGCCAAGCGGCGGCGGATAAGGACATGAACAACATACCTGCGCAAGCCGTATCCGCCCGGGCGGCCGCAGGCGGTGCCATCAACCCACTCTCGGCACCGCTGCACGTGCGTGCTCCCTCTCCCACCCAACTCGGCTCCACTCTCGTCCACCCGCGCCCACCCCATCATCTGCTCTCAGGCTGATTGCGGCGTGTGTTGCGCAATGCCGACCCACCAGACGCTGGCCAGAGCATGATTGTGATGCCTCTGTCTGGGCGGGGGGGCGTTCGACAGCGCGCGAGGCTGCCTCCCTGCCCTTTGCGACGCTTGCGACCACTGCTGAGTTGCATGCAGTACAGAGTAGCAGTGGTGGGGAGGGCGTGCGCCGCCCCGCTTCCCGCCGCAGAGTGGTGAACTCGGGTCTACTCACCTCGTCGGCTCCATCGGCTGCCTCTCCTCGTGCGCCGGCTGCCTCTCCATCCAACCGCTTCTGCGTCCTTCTCTGCCCGGTGCTCGCGATGTCGCTCTGCCGAGACAACAAAGACACTTCACCCCTCGGGCTGTTGTTGCAGACAGAAAAACAAATTTGGCGCGCGTGCGCGCAAGGTCTGCTAGTGCAAATAATGCCCGAAACACGCAACGAGGTTCGCGCCGTTTCGGAGCGGTAGCGGGCGGGTTCGCCACCCCCGCTCAGCGATCGAGGAGCAAGCAACACAGCCGATGGGGAAGCAGGTGGTAACCGCTCGGCTCCGAATCGGCTACGTCTTCAAGTACGTGGGAGAGGAGACGCTGGAGGCGCTAAACGCCCTCCTCGCAGCGTTGCAGTTGGCCGCGTGCCCGGGTTTCTACCCGCGAGCACAAGGTATTATTGGACGGCTTGCTACCTCTTCTTGGCGACGAGCCTGGTCGGCGGGATCATCCAGGTGCACGCGCTGCTCGAGTCGGCTCAATTTCTGACCCACCACGCGAGAGGCGCGGCTCAGCCCTCAGAGGCCGAGATTGGCCGGTCAGAGCGAGAGGTGTGCGAATCGGTCTGCTACTTGGCCAGCTCGCTCTTGTTCGCGGCCGGGTCGGTGCTCTTCCTGCCAGACGTCTACGAGCACAACGAGCGCAACGACCTCACCGCCGGCACTGCTCTCTTCCTCGCCGGGTCGCTGTTGCTACAGCTAGCAGCTTTCGAGAGTGAACCTCCTCAGCGTCAGCGTGACGGGCCGCATGCACAGATTTGGCAGTGAGGAGCTTGGCGTGCTGTCGCTGCTGTGCTCCCAAGCGGGCTCCGCCGCCTACTCGATGGGCAGTCTTGGCTACTTCCCTCAGCTCGAGGGAGACGGCTCCAAGTGGAACCCGCTCACGGTGGGCACGAACCTGTATGTCATCGGCGCGGCGCTCTACCTCGTGGGCGGCATGCTGAACTGCGCCCTCGTTGTGATCAAGAGGAGGCACCACCGCAAAATTAAGGAGCCGCGCGGGCGGCGGCGGCGCTTGCGGCAGGAGGTGTGAGAAGGCGCAGGCGTGAAATCGAGAGGTAAAGCTGAAACTAAAAGGGAAACAGTCAAAAGCACAGACGCCCACCAGTGAGACAAGGCGCTGTCACTGACGTCTAATACACCGTACCGGGCTCTGGACGGTTCGCACACCGGCAAGGTATCTGTAGAGTAGTACCGCCCTGTCTACGACTACGTCTGTCTTCGCACCTTCCTGCCACCTTAAGCTTAGCCTTCGATGTTATGAAACAAACGCAAGGCGGACATGGCACATCGCTCTCGGGCCCACAGACATCCCGCACACCCGCCGCCCCCCGCGCGCGCCCCACCCGGCCGGGAGAAAGGGGAGTGACAGTTTGGGATGGCAACAGAACGAGTATCTTGCACTCCATGTGCAAGAAGGCAGGGTAAATAAATAAATAAATAAAACGGGCGCGCCAAACGAGGGGTGGGAGAAGGATAATGTAAGCCGGATACGATGCCCGCTTTTTTCTTTTCGATGCCGCCCCCGCCCCGCTAGGCTTGCCGGAGAGAGTTAGGGCTGTGCCGGCGTCGCCTGAGAGGTTGAGAGGGCTCTGCCGGCGTCGCCTGACTCAGACAGTCGCTGCCGACAGCGCACGCCTCATGGGCAGGGCCCACGCCGACTACGCCGTCCTCGCCCCACCACCCGAGCACAGCAACACCAGGCGCCTCCGCCGCGTCCAGCTACTGAAACGGGTCCTCGACTGCCTCATATCCGCGCTGGCGCTCGCGGCAGCCGCTCTCGCTCTGCACGGCATCGACTCGACATCAAAGCTGCCGTTCAAGACCTTTGCGCCGCCGTCGCTCTCGTCCGCAATCATCTTCTTCGGCGGCCCGTCTCCGCCTCCTGTGCGCGGCTTCCTGCTGTGCACCGTCGGCGCGTGGCTCGTCGGCGCCGCCATCACCACCGCCTCGCCGCTATTTGGCCCGGACAACGACACGCGAGCCATCCTGTCCGCGGCGACGTTGCTCTTCTACTTTGTGCGAACTCTCGGGTCCTCTCAGGTAATCTCCTCGGGTATCTCACCGTCCGGCCCCCGACCCTCGTAGAAAATGTCGGGCGAATTCTTCGTGCCAACCTTTGGGCTCGCGGCGGCACTTCTCGCCGCGCAGGCCGCGCCGGTGACTGCGGGGCCTCTGCAGGCGCTCCGCTTCCTGGTATCTCCGTGGCTTGCGGGGCACTGCGCGCTGTACGCCGCCGCCGCGGTGGCCTCGCGGCTCCGGCGGCAGGCGCGCGTGCGGCTGAAGCGGTGGGAGGTCCAGCTCGGCCTGCGGGCTGGCGGCGCGTTGGGCAGGGAGCGGGACCTGCGCAGCATCTTCGCGCGGTTCGACACGTCGGGCAACGGCTTTCTGGAGGCGGGCGAGCTCAAGTACGCGCTCAAGGCCGCGACCGGTCTCGAGCCCAGCCTTGAGGACTGCGAGACGCTCATCTCGATGATTGACACCGACGGCGACCACGTCCTCGCCCTCCACGAGTTTGTGCAGCTGGTCACAGAGGAGGACCTGTCCGAGCGCGCCCTGTCCGAGGCGGCCAAGCGCGCCTTCTCCGGAGGGACGGGCTCGCTCTCTGGCGTCCCTGAGCCCACGCGATCCCTCCCCAGTCGCGGTAATGACACACATCAGGTGTCTCGATGACACCCTGGGCCCAGCCACGGGGCGGGCAACCGGGCAACCTGCACGCCATTGCGCTGACCGTCAGGGACTCTCTTCCCCCTGCCGTCCACCGTCGGACATATGTTTGGATTTTGGGCACGGTCTAACGTCTATATATTATCGCGGGTAGGGGGTAGTTCACACAGTCAAAAAGACTCGCGCAGCACGCTGCCATGTGGCAATGTGCCACAGCCCACACACGCTGCGAGAGAGTCTCGTTTTGCTGATTCACTCTCGCCCTGCGTGGGTTAGCTCTGGGAGTCGACAGGACACAACGTCGCGGCGCGCGGGTGTGCGCCGCTCTCTTCCCCCTCCGCGTCTCGCGGGAGCAATCAGCGGACACGCAAACGCGTCCGCGTCTCACTGGACACTGTTTCGAGCGAGCCCTGTGGACGCTCACGACTTGGACTACGGCCCCTTGTCCTTGCCGCCGCCGCCTTCGCCCAGCGCTCTGGTGCGCTGCATCGCGGCGCCCATCTTGGTCGGCTGGAAGCTCTTGCGCCCCTGGTGTCGCTGCCACCAGCGGGCGCACTCGAGATCGCTGAGAGCCTCGTCAAACAGCACGCACTGCGGCTCGACCGAGCGGGTCGCGTAGACGCGTCCCATCAAGAGCGAAACGCCCTTGTCGCCCGACTCGTCGTCGCGCTGGCGAAACTCGGCCGAAACCCGGCCGTCAAACTCCTCCGCGAGCCTGATGCGCAGTATCTTCTTCTTCGGGAACCTGCAGCCAGCAGCAAAGCGGGTCCGTGGGAGAATGGGGTGGGAGAGGGGCAAGTCGTGCGGCAGAGCAAGCTCACATGGGGTTCCGCTCAAGGTCGCGTCCGCCGAGGGCTTCTGCAATCTCCTTCGCCTCGGCCCGCGCCTTTGCCTCTCGCGATACCTTCAGCCGGAGCGCCTCGAGCAGTGCGGTCGCCGTGCTTGCCTGCTCCTTGGCCACCACGGCTGTCGTCTCCGCCCGCGTCTTGGCAGCCTCTGCCGAACGGCGAGCCTCTTCCGCTGCGACGGCTCGCCGCCGGTCGTGCTCGGCCGCTCGCTCCGCGTGCTCCCGCGCCACGATCGCCTCCTGCGCCGCCGTCTCCGCCACGGCAACGCGCGCGTCGTCGACTGCGACCCGCTCCCGCTTGATCTTTGACTCGACGTGCGAGTAGAGAGTGGAGGAGGACACCCGTGCCGCGCGGGCCTTCTCGATGCGCTGCTTTTCCTCGTCCTCCGCTTTCTGACGCTCCTTTGCCAGCCGCGCCTGCTTCTTCTCCTCCCACGCCTTGAGGCGCTCGTACATGTCACGCGGCGCGGTGGTCGCAGAACTGACCGAGCTGAGAGACGCAGGAGGTGGCACGGCCTCATCCTCGCTAGGTGGTGGCGGCTGGGGCGGCGGCTGGGGCGGCGGCTGGGGCGGCGGCACGGCCTCATCCGAGGCGTGGCGTGGATGCTTCGCGGGAGGCTCGAGCTCGGCTTGGCAACCGACTGTGGCGAGCGTTGGATCCTCCCTCGGACGGAAGCGAACGCGGAGGTCCTTGAGCACCTAATTTATTTGGGTCGGTTTAGATTTCATCACTGGTATCAAAGAGACCCAAAACGGCCCTCACCGCTGTCCGCACCGAGACGTCAGAGGAGCGCACAATCTTCTCGACGCCGGAGGAAAGCGTCGCAGCCATCTTTTCGAGCAGCACGCTGCGGCTGGATGACGCGAGGGCCGCCTCTACCGAGGACACCTTGTCTCCGGAGCCACTGCTGTCCTGCTCATGTATCGCTGCAAACGCGTAGAGGAGCTTGCTTGTGGCTGCTGTGTACGTCTTGCACAGGCCAGCGATGGCCTCGTTCTGCTGGTCGGCGGCCGAGCGCTTCCTCCCGACGGTGGTCTTTGGACGGCCCGCTGGTGCAGACGATGGGGCCAAACTAGGGAGGCTGACCATAGCGCAACGGGGATGTGGGCCGCTGGATGGACGTCGGTTACGAACAGACGAAGGACGCGAACGGCGGGCTTCTTTTTTTGGCGTCGTTTGTCAGTGTGTATGTAGCTCTTACGAACATACCCGAGGGTGGACTGCTGACAGGGTTTGCGATGAGAAGCGATCCGAACGTGGCGTTCGGGTTTCTGGCTCTTACGAACGTATCCGGAGGGGGTTTTAGGTATGTTGTCCGGAGGGGGTGGACTGCTGAAGAGGTTGCTTCTTGCTGACCCCGCTGTGATTTGTGTGAGCTCTGTGCCTTGATTTGCTAACTACGAACCGAACAACCTGTGGAAAGAGCGAGAAAGAAGAGCGTGGGCCCGCTAGAGCTCGAAGGTTGAACCAAGGTGACGTGCGGCCGTCCGACGTATCGCGCGGGGCGCGCGGAAAAGACGAAGCTTAGCGTCATCGTCGCAGAGCTGCAAGCAGCGCCGGCGACGAAGGTTACCGATTTCCGCGCGTAATCCGCAAAAACACGACGAGCCTTGAATGGGCGGGCCATCCGAGGCGGACCGCGTCATCCGGCACAAGCAGAAGTGGAGCACCGGCCTACCCCCAATACGTCCAAACACCACAGGATGGGTCAAGCTGATGGTCGCCCGGGAGCAGCAGCTGCGGCGCCTCACAAAAGACGTTCAGCAGAGGTGGGACGGCTTCATGGATCTGATGCAGAGCTCCCGAATCGTGCCAAACTTTACTCGCTCGGGGTTCGAGAAGCGGCGCACCCTGCCCATGGTGCACGAAAAGCTCAGCTCCCGCCTTCTCGGCGGACTCGCCGCCGCGGCCGATGAGCAGCTCGGGATAAGCGGCCTGCTCATCACACCGCAGACCAAGTTTGTGCCTCTGACGCCAAACGAGGAGGAGGTGATCCTCAAGCAGTTGCAGCCGATGCACGAGGAATGGGGCGGCGTCCAGCTCGTGCCGGTCAAGGCGTACGGCCTCCGTGTGTACATGAACGGCTCCCAGCTGCTGATGCACCACGACAAGGAATGCGGCCACCACCTCCTCCATCTCACGTAAAAACACAACCCCGGTCAGAAGACAACACTGGGTCCTCCATCTCACACCTAGACACTGACCCGCGCCCTCTTCCCCGGCCACAGGTGCAGGATCACGTCATCTCCTCCATCGTGCACGTGGGCCACGACGCGGAGGAGCCGTGGCCAATTGTGATCGAGGGCCTGGACGGCACCACGTGAGCCGACCGCCCCGCGCCCGCTCTCCTCCGCCCCCCGACGTGCGCGCCCCTACAGACCCCGCCGCACGTGCCAGGTACGAGGTGAATCTCGAGGAGGGGGAGATGCTGTTCTACGAGTCGGCCAAGTGCATGCACGGGCGGCCTCACCCCTTCCGCGGCCGCTGGTACTCGTCGCTCTTCGTCCACTACAGGCCGGTGGACTGGTCCATCGACACGGCGACCATAGTGGACGCGGTGCCGCCCGGCTGGATGCCCACGGACGAGGACATGCGGCTGGACGGGGCGGCGCTGCCCGAGCTACAGCTCTCCACCACCGGCTTCCTCAACCCCGACTGCGCGGACCGCTGGTGCCCTCTCGCAGACTCGGTCCGCCTCTGGGGCGGCGAGGCCAATGCCAGGGCCTCCCAGCCCGGCCTGCTGGCAGGCGCGGGCATCGGCAGCAGCGCGCAGCTGCAGTGCGCCGCCGGTGCTGCGCTCGCGTTTGTGGCCCTGTGGCGATTTGGCCGTTGGCGGCGGGGTCCCCGAGAGTCGGCCGACTTCAAGAGTGTATGAGACTCGGGCGTCCCAGCGGCAGCGCGGGCGGCGCCGCGGGCGGCGATACATATTCAGATACACAACACACATTTTTATGGGCATGCGGATGCGCGTGGGCGCAAACGTGTGTAAAAAAAAGTACTCGGTCTCGCTCTCGGTCGGTCGGACACGGTCACGGAGACGTCAGACCACATTAGACGTGTCCACTCTGCGCTCACTCGCGTTCCCGCATCGTGCACATGCACATGTTGTGCATGCAGGCGAGAGGATGGTGCGCATCGTTCGTTATTCGTAGCGAATTTTTTCTCGCGGACCACCCCGATTTCTTGTCTGACGCACCGAGCAAGATTGCTGAGCTGAAAGCCGCACACCGGCCGACGCCGCGGCGGCGGGGCCGACAGGAGGACGGGCACAATTCCCGGAGGAAACTCTGAGAGCGGCGACGGCATCTGGAGGTGGGTGACTGTCTACCACTAAAGGCATGGAGGCTGCTTGCCCTCGAACATCAAGTGTGCACCGGATCACAACACACAGCGGCCCCGCCCCCCGCGTCAAAAGTAGAGGGCGAGCCCGTCCGCGTCGCCTGTTCACAGCGGCAAGTGTGAAGAGGCGCTGCTCGCGGCAGCTCGAGCGGCGGGCCCGCCCCCTCGCCTCTGTGCAGGCCGCACCGCTCGTAGAAGGCCGCCTATTCACACACAGAGCCGTGAAGAGACGCTGTCCGCAGCTCGCCCCACCGCTCGTAGCAAAGGGCGCGTTGTCGGGAGTGCAGTTCAGGCTCGCCTACAGGAAAGTTCCTGGAAGGTTCCTAGAAGGCTCCCAGAAGGCCTGGAGTACAGTTCAGGCTCGCCGTGTCGCAGCCCGCCTCCGCAGCGATCTCGAGGAGACAGCGGATCAGCTGCTTGCCTATGCCGGAGCCGCGCAGCTTCTCGTCGACGACGACGTCCTCGATGTGCGCAGTCAGCGGCTGATGCTGGCACCAGCCGTCGGACGGCCGCAGCACCCTTCTCTCTGCGATCAGAGTGCCGCACGCGACGATCTCTCCCCCGCCCGCCGGCGCCGCCACCAACACGGCGAGCAGGTCCGAGTTGGAGACGCGCCGCAGCTGCGCCTCAAAGACGTGCGGCTTCATCTCCGGGGCGACGGACAGCTGCGCGAGGAGGGCGAGGTAGCGGGCGGGACCTGTTGACAGCAGCAGGTGTGAAGAGACGCTGTTCACACCCAGGAGGGCGAGGTAGCGGGCTGCGCCGTCAGCGGGGGAGAGCCGACGCAGCGTCAAAGAGCGCAGCGGGCCGCGGGGCAGTGCTATCTGCCGCGGGGACAGCCCGCCGAAGACGCGGCGGCGGCGCCCGTGGAGCGTCCCCATCCGCGCCGCCGCGACCGCCCCCGCCCCGGCCACCGCCGCCGCCGCGACCGCCGGCGGCAGCGACCCGCGAGCGAGTGCGGCGGCGGCACCCGCGGCCACCGCGGCGGACGCGGCGAGAATGCCCTGCGCGACGCCGCCCTGGAGCAGCGATGCCGGCGGCGCGAGCTCAATCTCCATGGCCAGCTGCGTCGGCCGGAAGCCCACGTCGAGGAAGGGCTGGCTGCTCGCGGCTGGCACGTCGGCGATGATTTTGTAGCAGCCCGACGCTTTTGCGGTAGCGACCAGGGGTTGAATCAGCTCGAGCGGCGCGTCGAGCGGCGCGAAGCGCGCCGCAGAGGCGGGCGACGGCAGCGATACCAGCTCGCAGATGTGCGCCACCGTCGTTCCGCCGCGGAGGAGCTTTGGCTCGAGCATCAGAGTCGCGGCGGCGCACAGCTCGCCGGTGCTGTCGGGCAGCACGAAGACGTGCTGCAGGCCTCCGTCGGTCTCGAGCTGGCGGAGAAGCGCCGGCTTCACGTCTGAGCTGCTGGCTTCTCTCGCCATATGCTCGGCGAATGCAGCAGCCTGGGTTACTCGTAGAGGAGCTGCGCGCAAGCGAGGATTCGCGAAGTAAAAGAATGCAAGGGGCTACATTTAATTAAGGTGCCTATATCCCATCCCTCCCTTGGGTTGCGTGTTTTCTTTCTTTCTTTCTTTAAGGTGCCTATATGGGCTTCCAGTATCGGACCTTCAAGACATGCGCTTTTGGCCGGTGGCCTCCTCGGACACTAGAGGAATCACTGTGAGAGTCGTGATCCTCGGACGACCCCTGACGTTGCGAGCGGCACTGCGCGAGCACGCTGCATGGCTCGCACTCGGTCGATGGACGATGGGAGGCGAGCTTGCGAGAGTCACGCGCGGCGCGGCCCCGAGATCGCCCGAGATTGCGCGAGATCGACCGAGATCGCGCGGCGCGGCCCGAGGCGAGGCGGATGGGTTGGGAGCGAGGGGGCGCAAGTGTGCAGTGCGGTAGATGGTCAGCTCGGGGCGCGTGAGCCGGACTTGTGAGCCGCTCGGCTTTCATTTCTCTCTGCGTTCTCGCACATGGAGTGCGAGGTATCTCGTTCGTCTGTCGCCGTCCCGAACTGTCACTCCCCTTTCTCACGGCCGGGGTGGGGCGCGCGCGGGGGCGGCGGGTGTGCGGGATGTCTGTGGGCCCGAGAGCGATATGCCATGTGTCCGCCTTGCGTTTGTTTCATAACATCGAAGGCTAAGCTCAAAGAAAAAGCCATCCCCATTTCATACTGCGTACGTCCCAATATTATATTCCAAGAGCACTGCGGTGACCAGTGTGTGTCCGTCCCCGGGCGGGCCCGATGGGTGTGCTTGTGCCGAGAGTGTCCCAGCGACCAACCAGCTCTCCAACAACGCATATCCCCTGCCACAGGCTTCCTCGTCGACGCCTCGCCTCTCGATTGGGAGGACTCGCTCGAGGTGGTCAAGTACGTGCGCCAGCACGGCATCGAGCAGTTCATCCGGCACTACCGCCGCGTCGAGGCCATCGAGGGCGACATGCTGCGGTGGGGCGATGAGCTCGAATACGGCATCTTCAAGATCGACGAGCAGGGCCACAGCGTCAGGCTCTCACTGCGAGCTCCCGAGATTATGAAGCAGCTGCGACAGAGGGAAGAGGCAGCCGGCGACTCGGCCGGCCAGAGCTGCGCGTGGATGCCGGAGTTTGGCTCTTGGATGGTGGAAGGGACGCCCGGCCAGCCCTATTCGGGGTTCGCTGCCGACCTTCTGCTTGTCGAGCGCAACATGCGCATCCGCAGGGCCCGCCTCCTCGCGGCCCTCGCCGCCGACGAGATATGCCCCACGGTGACGGTCTTCCCGCTGATGGGCGTTGGCTCCTGCTCTCACCCGCCCGCCGATCCAAAGCCGGGCCTCTCCGAGTCGCTCTTCGTGCCGGACGAAGTCATCAACCCCGCGCCCCGATTCGGAGCGCTCGTCGCCAACATCAGGCGGCGGCGCGGCTCAAAGGTCGACATCCGGATGCCGCGTTTCGCCGACGAGAAGACGCCGGCCTTTGAGCGTCACGCGGGCTGCCCCCCGCCGGAGACGCGCGCCGAGGCGCTGCAGATGGAGGAGGTGTACATGGACGCAATGGCGTTCGGCATGGGCTGCTGCTGCCTGCAAGTCACCTTTCAGACGCGAAACGTCGCAGAGTCGAGGCACCTCTTTGACCAGCTAGCGGTGCTCGCGCCGGTCATGCTCGCGCTCACCGCCGCCACGCCCATCGCGCGCGGTGTGCTTCTCGACACTGACGTGCGGTGGGACATCATTGCCCAGTCGGTCGACGATCGCACTCCCGCCGAGCGGGGCATGGATGACGGGGCGGCCCGGCACCCGGAGATGGCCGGAGGAGGGGTGAAAAGGCTGCCAAAGTCGAGATACGACTCCATCTCCTCGTTCATCTGTGACCACCTCGGCGGCAAGGACGAGCAGACACGCACCGAGCGATACAACGACGTCGACGCGCCAATCGACGAGGAGGCGCTCCAGACGCTCCTCGACGCGGGCGTGGACGCGGTGCTGGCGAGGCACCTGGCGCACCTCTTCACGCGGGACCCTCTCGTGGTCTACCGGGAGCGCATCGAGCTCGACGACGCTACCGAGACGGAGTGCGCGCGCGCGCGCGCGCGCGCGCTCGCCATCTCCCCCCGCCACTCTCGCTCTCACGCCTCTGCCCGCCTCCCCCACCAACTCGGCCCACCCCGGCCCTCGTCCTCGCAGCCACTTTGAGAATATCCAGTCCACCAACTGGCAGACGGTGCGCTGGAAGCCGCCCCCCGCCAAGAGCGACTCGCACATCGGCTGGCGCACCGAGTTCCGCTCGATGGAGGCGCAGCACGGTCTCGCCTCGCTCGCAGCCTCCTCTTTGCGTCGTCACAGCCGCCTCCCTCTCGCTGCAGGTCCAGCTGACCGACTACGAGAACGCCGCCTTCACCACCTTTGTGGTGCTCGTCTCGCGCGTCATTCTCTACTTCAACCTGAACCTGTATACCCCAATCTCGTGCGCCGCTCGCAGCCCTGCCACGAGACTCGATGCCCCGCCCCTGCACCCCGCCTCCCTGCGCGCGCCTTAGGTGCGTCGACGAAAATATGAGACGCGCACACGCCCGCGACGCCGTGAGGACGCAGCGGTTCCACTTTCAGCAGCGGTCGATGCCTCCCGCAGCGGGCCAGTCGGACGACGGCGAGCCAGAGCCGGGGCCGCCCGCTGGGCAGGGCGGCGACATGGACTCGAAGCGAGACTCGCGCGCCTCCGCGTCTTGCGGCCGCACCGCGGGCGTGGAGGAGCTCTCGCTGTACGAGGTGATGGTCGGGCGGGGCGAGTTCAAGGGCCTCGTGCCGATGGTGCTGACCTACTTGGAATTGATCGAGACGGATAGCGCCACGATGAGCTCCCTCTCGGGCTACCTTGACTTCATCGTCGCTCGCGCCAGCGGCCGGCTCCACACGCCGGCCCGGTGGATGCGCGACTTCGTCTGCTCGCACCCGGACTACCGCCAGGACTCGGTCGTCTCGGAGCGGATCGCCGCCGACCTGCTCGCCAAGTGCCACCGCATCGGACTCGGCGTCGAGGCGGCGCCCGCGCTTCTCGGGGACGTCGTGATCCCGGAGGTCCGCGCAAAGGACGCCTACGCCGCCGCCGACATGGGCGACTCGCACCGCCTCTCGCGCATCTCCCGCTCGATCGCCGAGCTGATGGCGTCGCACCAGTTCCGCTACCAGCTGCAGGAGCGCCGTACCCGGCTCCAGGCGAGCGAGGCCGACCTCCGCAAGAAATGGGAGAAGACGCGCCACGAGCTGGAGGAGGTGGAGGCGCAGATCGCCTTTCTGAGCCCGAAGTAGAGAGAGAGCGCGGGCAACCGCTCAAGTGTAGTAACGCGCCGTGACGCGTGACCCGGGAGTGGGTGCCGGGTGGAGCCGGAGTGAACACGTGTGTGAGAGGCGCGGCAACGGGGCGGATTTTCACAAAAAAGAAGTGTCACACCGCCCTGCTCCCTGGGACGTGTGCGTAGCGCGCCCCACCCCCACCCCGCAGGCAGCAGCAGCTAAAGCTCTCTCCGTTTGCATGAGGTAAAAACCCCTCCCGCGGGGGACTGCACAACCCCCGCATCCGCAGAACCAGTCACACGATTGAGGATTGTACTAGCTAGTGTCGTCATCCTGCCTTTGCTTTCGCCGCCTTCTTGGTCAAGTGTAAGCAGAATTCGCGGAGCGGCGCGTGCACCTCGTCGTGGTGGGGCTGCGCGCGCATGCGATCGAGCCACGCCGTCGTGCGCCTATATTCGGGGAGTCATCCCCTCTCGGCGGTGCGTCGCTGTGGTCTTCTCGCGCGTCCCAGATGTCGATACGCAAACGGCGAAAAGTCGAAGAGAGGCAATCCAGTGGCGGGATCGGAGAAGAGGGCAGGCTGCAGCTGTCCGAGCTCGCAGTAGGCGGAGAGGTCGGCGATGGTCGCGCCGGCAGAGGCGAGGAAGGGCCTGTGCTCCAGCACCGCCTCGAGCGAGGTGAGGACGTGGGAGAGCCCGCCCGCGCTGTCCGCAGGGCCTGCGTAGATGGAGGCTCCCAGGCCCGGGCTCTCCGCCATCCGCTTCGCAACGTCCGGCCGCATGAGAGGGCCGATGATGCGAGACGTGGCTGGCCGGAGCGTCCCGACCGTCCACGACAGCGCCTCGAGGACCCGCGCCCGCTGCTGCGGCTCGCGCGGGTAGAGGTCGTCCCAGCCGTGCGTATCAGCGAGGTAGGCGAGGATCGCCGGGCCCTCGCACATCGCAAAGTCGCCGTCCTCGAGGACCGGAATGGTGCCTCGAGGGTTGAGCGCCTTGAACTTATCCGTGGTCGTGTGCTTTGGCGGGACGGCGGTCTGCAGCGTGAGCGGCAGGCCCTTGATTTTGGTGGCCCACAGCACCGACCGGAAGGGCTGAGAGACGGGAACGCCGTGAAGGATGAGCTTGGACATTGGGGGAGGCTGACTGAGAGACTGAGGCAGCCTCCGTCCCCCGCGTCCCCTGCGCCGAGCTGACTGAGGCAGCCTCCGTCCCCCGCGTCCCCTGCGCCGAGCTGACTGAGAGACTGAGGCAGCCTCAGCAGCAGGAGCTTGGTCACCTGGGTTCGGTGCCGTGCTGTATCGGAAGAGAACCCCATATTGCTAAAAAGTCTTATCCCGCGTCCCCATTTTGCTAAAATAGAGGAGACCTACCCCCATGTGACAAAACCAACGCCAACTCATGTCGACGATTGAAGTTGCACAGAGCAGGATCATGTAAGCGATAGATCTAGCACGCACGTCAGCCCGCACCGACCGCCAAGCTCCGAGCCGAGTACGGACAGACACCTCAACGCAAGGTGAAAAAGGGATTGGCCGCGCCCCTGCGCGGCCTGGCGTCTGCGCCAGGCTGCGCTGGCACAACGGACAGGGTCACTTCCTTTTTCGACACTCTCCGCCCCGCTTGCAACGCGACAACGGCTTCATCATCTTCATCATCCTCGACATCCATCGCCGGTGCGGCGGCCGGCGAGGCCGCGGCGGCGGCGCCAGCGTTGACCAAGAGCGCTAGGAAGCGGCTCAAGGAGAAGGCGAGGAAGGGGCGGCGCGCTGCAGAGGCGGCGGGCGAGCCGGAGGTGGCGCCATCGCCGGCGCCGCCGCCGGTGTTCAAGACGCTCAGGGAGAAGAAGGCGGCTCAGGCGTCAGCGGAGGGCTGGGCGGCGGAGGTGGCGAGGGCCGAGGAGCTCTACGAGGAGCTGCGCGAGCGTGCGCCCCAGCACTGCCGCCGTGGCGGCAAGTGGGCGCGCGAGAAGTTCGTGATGGCGGTGCAGGGAGAGTTCCCGCGCGCGCGAGGGGCAGGCGTTCCCAAGGGGACGATCCTGTGCCTCGGCAGGGTGCTCGACGCGCACGATGAGCAGGATGACGCGGAGGGTGGGCACCGGGACTGGGAGGAGGACCCGCTCGGGTTCGACACCAACCCGATGCTGCTCCGCGCCATGTGCATGGCGTTCGAGTGAACGCCGTGCAGGCAGCCGATACCTTTTGGTGTACCGCGTTTGTACCGCGTCCTGTGCCCCCGAGTTCATTTAAATGAACGAAAGAAACCCCCAGATCCAAACATCCGTTCGTTGTCGGGTTCCACCTGCCGACTCGGCCTATCGCTCTGCCCATGTCAAAGTTCACTCCCCTCCGGCCCAACGAGCCCGCCATAGTCGCCACCGCCTTCTTCTCGCCCGCCACCGTCCGGCGGCCTTCTTCTCGCGCCTCCCTCTCCGAGCCAGCGTCGATGCGCTATCTCGAACTGCCGGACGAGCTCCTGCCGCTGACGCTGCGAGGCCTCTCTCCCGACGAGCTGGCCGTCGCAGCGGCGGTCTGCACGGCACTGCGGCGAGTCTCGGAAGCGGACAGCCTCTGGGCCGACGTCGACCTGCAGCTGCGGCCGTCGCTCTCCGCGCTTCCGCCCGGGCTCAAGCGCCGGCTGGCCGCGACCACGAGCCTGCGCGTGAGCCTGCCGCACCGAGGGTGCAGGGTGCGGCACGCGTTTCTGGCGGCGCAGGGGGCGGACGCGTCGCTGCTCACCTGGTCGTGCGGCGGCCTCTCCGACAGCGGCCTGCTCAGCCTCCTGCAGGCCTATCTCCCCCATATCTCCCCATATCTCCCCATATCTACCCATATCTCCCCATATCTCTGACGGCGGCCTGCTCAGCCTCCTGCAGGCAATATCTCCCCATATCTCCCCATATCTCCCCATATCTCCCCATATCTCCCCATATCTCCGGCGGCGGCCTGCTCCTCCTCCTGCAGGCGTGCGGCGGCCGGCTCGTCTCCCTCGACCTGGGCGGGCAGGCGCACCTGACCTCTGCGGCTTCCTGGACCTGTCCTGGACATGTCCACGACACTTCCCTGACATGTCCGACAGGCGCACCTGACCTCTGCGGCGCTGGTCGACGTGCTCGCGGTCACCTCGCCGACGCTGCAGACGCTGCGGCTGCGAGGCTGCACCGCGGTGGGCGGCTCCTCCTGGTCGTTCCACGTCAAGGCCTTTGGCGTCGACGGCCCGCCGCAGCTGCCGCAGCTGAGGCATGTCGACTTCTCTCACACGGACGCAACGGACGCGCTCGTCGGCGCGCTGCTGCGGCGGGCGCCTCGTCTCGAGTGCGCGCCCCCTCCCGCCTCCCTCGCCGCCTTTGAGGAGCCCTCCCGGGCCTTGCCCGAACCCTTCCCGGAGCCGTCCGTCCCCCGACACTTCCCGGACACTTCCTTGAGCGTGAGCCTCAACTTCCTGGACAAGCTCGGTGACACTTCACTGACACTTCCCGGACACTTCCTTGACCCGTCAGGTGCGTGAGCCTCAACTTCCTGGACAAGCTCGGCGACGAGCCTCTGCGGCAGCTCCTTCCCGCCCCGCCGCCCTCGCTGCGCAGCCTCGGCCCTCCGAACTGCGCGCGTCTCGGGCCACAGCTTGCCCCCGCGCGTATAGCGCCCGCCTCTTGCCTCCCTCAGGCCTGATGGGGTGCCCGCGCGTCTCGGACTCGCTCCTCCGCTCCCTGCTCGCCGCGCTGCCTGCTTCCTCCCTCCTCTGCGACATCTCCTTCGTCTGCGATCTCGCCCCACCCGACGACGAGAACACGCCGCCCGGCGCTGCAGAGGGCCGCGCCGGCGCCGTGCCCGACCCCGCGAGGAGCGCTGCGGCGGCGGAGGCGCTCGACCGGCTGCTCTCGGCGTACCACCGCGAGCAGCTGCGCCAGTAGGGCCGCGCAAAGGGGTGGGGGGGGGGGGGGGGATCGTCCCCCTTCTGGGAGGGGTTGGGGTGGGGGAGGGGCGAGTGCGCAGGCGAGTGCGCAGGCGAGTGCGCAGGCGAGTGCGCAGGCGGAGCCGCGGGCGGGCGCCTCTTGTGAGGAGCGCGCCGCCGCGGTGTACAGTCCGAGGAGAGGGGGGGGGCTGGGGGAGGCATGCGGAGCATCGGAGGACAAGGAGCTTGCCAGCGGTGAGCGAGCTCTGACGTGAGAGGCATGCCAGCGCCGCGGGACCGGCGCTGGCCGTGGCGCTGGCGTGCGAATACTGTAATCTGGCTAGCATGTACCATTCCGTGCGTGAGCCGTGACGTGCGGGGGCTGATGGCCGTGCGGCGGCCTGCCTCCGGAGGTGCCTCTGAGGCGGACATTTTTTGGTCACCGTGAGAGAACGCGTTCGAATTTTCACTCCGGAACTTCAACTCCGCACGCGCACCGGCCAGGGCTACAATAGTGCCAGTGAGGCGGAGGCGCGAGTCGGAAGGCCGCGACGTCAAGTGGTTTCCCAATTTTCCTACAATCGCTGTGAACCCAGCCACGTATGGCGCATGCACAGCATCAGCTCAAAAACCCGAGAGGCTACTCTAGTCTCTAGTCTACGAACAACGAAGGCAGTCCGGCCGCACATTGCGTACCCCGCAACCAGACTACCCCGCCGCTGCCTTCGTACGCAACCAGACTACCCCGCCGCTGCCCCCCCCCCCCCCCCTGGTTCATTTGCTCACCCTCTGGGAGTGCTCCTCTGCCGCCTTGGTCGCTGCCCGCGCCTTGGTGTTGGCCTCTGCCAGCGCCGTGGCCTTCGCAGCAGCTGCAGCCGCACGTCTCGCTTTGGCGGCAGCGATGACCGCCGCCGCCGTCGCAAGCACCGCCGCCTCCTCAGCTGCTGCGACCTCCTCCGCCTCATCTGCCGCCATAGCCGCCGCCTCGGCCTCAGCCTGCTGACGAGCCGCCTCGGCCATAGCCTCCCTCGCCTTGCAAGCCGCTTCTGCAGCCAGCGAGGACGACCCTTGCTCCGCCACCGCCGGCTCCGCCGATGCCGCTGCCGCCCCCCTTCCCTTCCCACCACCGACACCCGTGTCACACTACACCCGTGATAAATAACTTAATGAACGGACACGCCAAACGAGGGGTGGGAGAAGGACACAGGGTCCCCACCTGCACGAGCAGGATCGTGGAAGGACGATCAGGGACACAGGGGAACGGGAGCGGGGAGCGCATCGCGACACGGAGGGGGGCTGCACAGGCCTCCTGCTGGTTGCGCTCTCCAGGGATCCCTAGCTAGTTCGCCTGCTTTGTTGTTGTCATGTTCGCCTTCTTGCTCCTGACAAGGAAGAGCGACAGGCTCAGCTCGGTGGATTCTCCCTAATTCACTGGCGATACACCACCCTACTCGTGAATAGCTTCCTAATTAATGTACTTTCCTTTTTAGCTACCACCGCTTCGAGAGGCAGGTTCAAGGAGACACACCTGCTCACAGCAGCTGGCGTGAACAGACGCCGTCCTCGCAACGCAGAAAATCATCGCAACGCAGAAATCGGGAAGGAGCTACGCTTCATTGCTGTAGTCGTGAACAGACGCCGTAGGGTTGACAACATTCTATGTCCTATCGGGGCGAGGAGCGTCGCTGGCGTGATGAGCAACGGCGCGCCGAGTACGGACGCGAAGGGCGGCGATGGCGGGCCGGGGGCGAGTCGCGACGGCGGTCGCGATCACGCGATGAGCCGCGGCGGGATGAGCTGCGACGGCGCGACGAGGGTTGGCAAGGCGAGCAATGCCGGCACCATGACGGGCGGCACGACGAGCGGCGCGGCAACAACGACTCTTGGTGCAGTGGGCGCGAGCAGCGATGGCACGCTGAGCGTTTGCGCGATGAGCCATTGCGAGGCGGACAACGGCCGCATCATGACGGGCGACACGACGAGCGGCGCGGCTGCAACGACCGACCAAGCATAGGCGTGCGCGAGCACGACTTGTGCGATCGGCGCGATGGTCGATCCCACGATCCCAGGCGCGACCATGACCGGCGCGACCGCCGCGGCGAGGGGCAGCCTCAGCACAGCGACCGCCGGTGGAGTCCGCCGATGCGTGGTGCGGGATCGCGCGACGAGAGGCACACCTCTGCTGCCGGTGGTCAGCTCAACGCTAAGCAACTCAGCAGCCACATCTCAAATGCTGGCAGCGCTGACGCATTGCTCGCGCTCTCTGCTGCCCACAGCACGAGCTTGAACCACATCCACGCTGCGAACCTGTGGAACAAACTGGGCAAGCAGCGCATCGAGCGGCGGCACGAGGAGCAGCTTGAGCGGCTGGTGCAGGGGACGCTCGACCTCATCCCGTCGTGCAATGCGCGAGCACTGGCAAATATAGCTCACGGCGTTGCAAAGTGCGGCCGGCGTTCGGGGGTGGAGAGCGCGCTGTACGCGGCGGTGGCGGAGGAGGCGGTGCGCGGCGGGCTGGCTGGCTTCAACCCTCAGGACCTGGCCAACACGGTGTGGGCGTATGCGACGGCGGGCGTGGCTGCGGACGCGCTGTATGAGGCGGTGGCGGAGGCGGCGGTGCGCGGCGGGCTGGCTGGCTTCAACCCTCAGAACCTGGCCAACACGGTGTGGGCGTATGCGACGGCGGGCGTGGCTGCGGACGCGCTGTATGAGGCGGTGGCGGAGGCGGCGGTGCGCGGCGGGCTGGCTGGCTTCAACCCTCAGGCCCTAGCCAACACGGTGTGGGCGTATGCGACAGCGGGCGTGGCTGCGGACGCGCTGTACGCGGCGGTGGCGGAGGCGGCGGTGCGCGGCGGGCTGGCTGGCTTCAACCCTCAGGACCTGGCCAACACGGTGTGGGCGTATGCGACGGCGGGCGTGGCTGCGGACGCGCTGTATGAGGCGGTGGCGGAGGCGGCGGTGCGCGGCGGGCTGGCTGGCTTCAACCCTCAGGACCTGGCCAACACGGTGTGGGCGTATGCGACGGCGGGCGTGGCTGCGGACGCGCTGTACGCGGCGGTGGCGGAGGCGGCGGTGCGCGGCGGGCTGGCTGGCTTCAACCCTCAGGACCTGGCCAACACGGTGTGGGCGTATGCGACGGCGGGCGTGGCTGAGGACGCGCTGTACGCGGCGGTGGCGGAGGCGGCGGTGCGCGGCGGGCTGGCTGGCTTCAACCCTCAGGCCCTGGCCAACACGGTGTGGGCGTATGCGACGGCGGGCGTGGCTGCGGATGCGCTGTATGAGGCGGTGGCGGAGGCGGCGGTGCGCGGCGGGCTGGCTGGCTTCAACCCTCAGAACCTGGCCAACACGGTGTGGGCGTATGCGACGGCGGGCGTGGCTGCGGACGCGCTGTACGCGGCGGTGGCGGAGGCGGCGGTGCGCGGCGGGCTGGCTGGCTTCAAGCCTCAAAACCTGGCCAACACGGTGTGGGCGTATGCGACGGCGGGCGTGGCTGCGGACGCGCTGTATGAGGCGGTGGCGGAGGCGGCGGTGCGCGGCGGGCTGGCTGGCTTCAACCCTCAGGACCTGGCCAACACGGTGTGGGCGTATGCGACGGCGGGCGTGGCTGCGGACGCGCTGTACGCGGCGGTGGCGGAGGCGGCGGTGCGCGGCGGGCTGGCTGGCTTCAAGCCTCAGGACCTGGCCAACACGGTGTGGGCGTATGCGACGGCGGGCGTGGCTGCGGACGCGCTGTATGAGGCGGTGGCGGAGGCGGCGGTGCGCGGCGGGCTGGCTGGCTTCAACCCTCAGGACCTGGCCAACACGGTGTGGGCGTATGCGACGGCGGGCGTGGCTGCGGACGCGCTGTACGCGGCGGTGGCGGAGGCGGCAGTGCGCGGCGGGCTGGCTGGCTTCACCCCTCAGGCCCTGGCCAACACGGTGTGGGCGTATGCGACGGCGGGCGTGGCTGCGGACGCGCTGTACGCGGCGGTGGCGGAGGCGGCGGTGCGCGGCGGGCTGGCTGGCTTCAAGCCTCAGGACCTGGCCAACACGGTGTGGGCGTATGCGACGGCGGGCCACTACCACCAGGCGCTGCTCGCAGACTGCTCGCGTGTGATCAGCGACTCGCTCGCGCGGGATCCGTCGAGGTGGGGCGTCGTGGACCGCCGTCAGCTGCACCAGTGGCAGCTCTGGCTCTCCCTTGAGCGAGGAGCAGACGGGCAGCATCACCTTCTCTCCGAGTCCCAGCGCAAGCTCTGCTGCGACGCCATGCAAGGCACCGAAGTTACGATCTCGCGCTTACAGCGCTCCGTCGCGGCTGCCCTCGCCGCCGTCCAGCACGGCTTCGAGGAGGAGCATCTCGAGCCGCGCACCGGCTACTCGCTCGACCTGGCGCTGCCCTCGTCACGCGTCGCGGTCGAGGTGGACGGCCCCTCTCACTTCCTGCTGCCCGACGGCCGGGACGTGCGCAAACCCAATGGGCCAACGCTGCTCAAGCGGCGCCTCCTCGCGGCGGCTGGCTGGAGGGTGATCAGCGTTCCATTCTACGAGTGGGACGGCTTCGCGACGGCCAATGAGAGGCACACCTACCTGCAGGGGCTGTTGGGCTAGTACTGTACCGCCACGAGCGCCGCGACCACCTCGCCACGCTCTCGACCGAGAGCCGCCTAAACGCCGCCTCCACATGTCGAGATCACAAAAGGATACGCACACGGCTTTGTTATTACATGCACATGTAAAAACTACACACCCACTTCGCGGATTATACTAATACATCATCCTACGAGTCCGATTGGTGTGCCAATAACGTTGAAGAAAGAGGGCCTCGTTGATGTCGGCTGCGTGGAAATCGGCGTCTGTCAAGATTGTCTGGCGGAATGAGGCCCCGTCGAGCAGCGCCCTGGTGAAGTCGGCGATGTTCATCCTGCGCGACGTCCGCGTGGAGGTCAACTTGAGCGGGTCGTATACGACCTAGAGATGCGTCTAAAGTACCTAGACCCTAAGGCGTAAGGGGCTCCTTCCTCCCCTCGGAGCTCGGTCCTCCCTCCTGCTCGCATTCCGATGGTCACGCGACGATTGCGCATCTAGGTCGTAGTGGCAGGGGGTGCAGACCCGGGGGATGGCCTTCGTCGACTCGTGGCTGACGGACGCCTCTTCCTGGTCGCAGGTCGGCGTCAACTTCGAGTGCGTCAAAATGAACGGGCGCTCAAATTAAGTCTTTCTTTCTCGGCGTCGCGGCTGACGGAGGAATTTGGCGCGCGCGCGGGGGGGAAGGGGGGGGGGGGCGCAGAGAGCCGAATAGTGTCGCCGCCGGAGACGACTCGACGCCGCTGAGATCGAAGACGGTGGGGCCGCGGGGCGCGCGCACTGGACACCGCCCCACCCACACCCCGCCCTAGACACCGCCACAGATTCTCACTTTGCCCCGCCGAACTCAAACGCGGCGAATGGATTCGGCGCAGGCTCGCCCCCGGGCTGCTCCAGGGCCTGCTCGCCCACGCCTGCCTCCTCCTCGTCGCTGTTCTCGTCCCAAGCCAGCATGCGCGCCGCCCCGCCTGCCTCGCCCCCGCCCTCGCCCTCGCCCTCGCCCCTGCCTCCCGCCCCCTCGCCCCCGCCCCCCTCCCCCTCGCCCCCGCCCCCCTCCCCCTCGCCCCCGCCCCCCGCCCCCTCCCCGCGCTCAAAGGCCCAGCGCGATGGCGCCGGGTCGTCCGCGTCCGCCTCCTCGCCCTCGACGTCGCCGACGAAGCTCACCTGGCCGGTGTTCGCGTCGGCGACGCGCTGGACGTGCGCGAGGAAGTCGGCCTCGGAGTAGGTGTACTTCATCACGTTGCAGTCGCCGCAGCACGAGACGACGCTCTCTTCGGTGTACACGCGCAGCGAGGAGTCGAGCCGATCGAGACCGTTGTGGTGTCGGGGCGGGTCGCTCTCCTTGCCACAATAGTGGCAGGGGCGGGCCGTGATGGCGTTGAACGACTCGTTGGAGAGGGCATGCGTCTTGGAGTGGGTGGACGAGGCCGTCACGTAGCTCGAGCGAGAGCGCTTCGAGGTATTGTTGCGAAAACGGTGCGGGTACCGGCCGTAGTCGTGCCCGCCGCGGTGCGTCGCGATGTGGCGGCAAGCCTCGACATAGCCGCGGATCCGCCTGGCCCCCTTCATGAGGTTGCAGGTGCCTAGTCGAGTCCCAAGCGTGTGTGGTGGACGTGTTCGGACGCCGCCCCACGAACACAAGTTGGCGTGAGCTGGCGCCGCACGCAGTCGCGAGGTTGTCGGGGTGGAACGGGCCCATGAAGCCGCCCTTGGAGGGCGGCGCCATCCCCTCGGGCCAGATGCGCAGCCTGGTCAGCCCGTGGCCCTCCTCGGGCGCAGCGGCGCCGCAGAGCGCGCACGCCTATTCGCACCGCGAGCGCCGTCTGCGGCCACAATGCCCAGGCGATGATGGGCCAGCAGTAATGCACGCCTCTCGCATCATCGCCGTTGCCTGGTGCTCAGCGACGCAGAACGGGATGCCCTGCTCGGACGCAATCCGCTGGTACTGCCGGAGCCGCGCGATCTGCGGCAGCACGCGCGACTTGGAGCCCGCCGCCGCAGACGGCGCGGAGGGGTCGGCATTCCGGTTGGGCAACTTCTGCTCCATCACGCGCCGGCACCTGCTGCACTGCAGCGCGCCGACGCCGCCGTCGGCGGCGGCGGGCGCGTCCTCTGCCCGGGCGTCCTCGGACAGCTGCTGCGGCGCAGCCTCTGTGCTCTTGCGAAAGAAGCCGGCGAGAGAGGCCTGCTTGGTGGTGTCGGTGGAGCGGCGGCACGCGAAGCAGAGCACGGCGACCTTGCCGTCGCGCTCGTCGGCCATTCGGTGGCGCTTCTGGCCCTTGGCCATGGTTGAATCGTGAGCAATCGGACCAAACGGCGCGAACAGAGCGGCATAACTAAGAATTCTTGAAAGACAAGCCTCTCTCACAGCACACTGGCACGACAAGGGCGCGGACTGGCGCGGACTGGCACACACACCGGCTCACCACCGGAGCCGCCTAAGCGACTCCGTTAAGAACGGCAATGCATTCCGCACCGTGCACAATGCCGCTCTCCCCGCACGCTAGCTCGTTCACCGTCTGCCACGCCACGGCGGTGTGGAGAACGACAGACAAGCGCTGCATCTGCAGCCCGTGCCAGTTCTTGGTGGTCCATGTGACCTCGTCCAGGTGCTGAGCGTGCGAAAGTTTGTTGCTCAGCTGGTTCGCCGCCTCCCTCAGGGTGCTGCGAACCTCCCTTCCAAAGCCTCCGAAAGCCTCAAAATCAAACAAACGTCCCGCGCAAAGCGGTAATCGCCAGGCAGCTGCTGGAGCTTTCCCTTGGGGGCATCCTCCTCCTCCCCCTCCTCCCCCTCCCCCTCCTCCTCGTCCTCCTCCTCCGCCACCGCCGCTGCCGTCGCTCCCGACGGAGACCACTTGCCGCGCCCTTTGACCAGATTGAGCAGCCCGGGCTCCGTGTTGCCGAAGCGAACATACGCCCCCTTCCAGCCGAGCTCTCCGTCGCCGGCCGCGTCCTTGCCCTTGCTCGCAAGCGAGCTCGTGAGCTTTGCCGCGACCAAATCGCGGGTGAGATCCAGCGGTATCTCGAAGCCGGAACTCGACTTGACGAACTCCGCGAAGAAAGAAAAAGTCGGGACAACGGGCTGCTCGGAGCCAAACATGCTGACTGCAGACGACGACTTGAACACTGCAGACGACTTGAACACGACGAAAGTAAAGTTGTTTGGAGCCGAACTCAAGACTGCAGACCTTGGGAAGCCAACCAGTGATGTCATGGCGGCGGTGAGTACCCTGCCTCCGCTTCGGTGAACTGCTGGTCCTTGACTGCGTCATAGCGGTCCTTGTTCACCCGTAGCAGGGTCTCTAGGGAATCGTCGCCTGCCACAAAGGCCAGCGGCCCAGGTGCTGATCCTTCTCCCGAGCCGATGAAAGTCTTATCGTCGAACGTGAAGGGGAAATGGCCGCTGAGTCCCATGACCTTCGCCATCTGATTCGTCTGGTAGCACGCCACAAAGTGCTCTGGCTCCGTCACTACTTCCGGACACGCGATCACCTCATTCTGGACCGGCAGGGCGTTTGTGCCCCGTTTGTGCCGCGTCCCGTGCGGCCCCCGAGTTCATTCATTTGAGCACTTGCTTGAGCACTTGTGACTTGATAGGTAGGGTCGATTCCGTCCGCATGGTACGGGACCCCTCATTCATTTTAACAAAAGGCGGTGCAGGCTTGACCCCAGTTGGGCCACGGTGCAGAGGCCGGAGACGGAGATAGATGTTGACTTCGCCTATGGAGATTGCAAAATGCGCGAAAAGCGCAGCGCGGGGCTGGGCGCGGGGTGGGGGGAGGCGGGGGTGGGGTTGTTTTTGTTTTTTGGGCAGGTGAGGGAGGGGGCGGGGACGGCCGGGCCCGGGTGAGCCCCCCCCCCCCCCCCCCCCCCTCGGTCGGGCTACTGTGCTCCAAGTGCTGTGATAGGCACATCAAGCATTAGGCTGAACAAGCTTTTCCTCTCGCACCCCGTCTCTTTTCATTTCCTTTTTTTTCTACAGCACCCTCTTTTTTCCTCTCTGTTTTCCCGGGGAAACCATCAAATTTTCCGGGCTCTGAGCCGAGTCTGACTGAGGCTGGTTTGGGGCTTTGGGCCCAAAATCAGCCAAATCGGCAAAAAACCGGGGATTTTGCGGGTATACCTGGAAACCCCCGGGTATACCTGGAAAATACCCTGCGACCGCCTGGGTATCGTGCCGATTTCCTCAATTTTGCCTCAGATTTTGCCCCAGACCAGCTCTCAGACTCAGGGAAACTCGCGAGTTTCCAGAATGGAGCACCAAACACCCTCTGTTTTCCCTGGAAATTTCCGGAAACGCAAAGTGCTGGGGCCCCTCTGTTTTCCTTTTTGTTTGCCGGAAAAGCTTGTGCAGGTCAAATCAAGCATCGGACAAGCAGAGAGAGAGAGAGATTTTTAGCAATGTTTGACAAGCATGCATCGGCAGTGGGGGTCGTGTGTGAGTGAGTGAGTGAGCACACACACACACAAAGTGGGGGTCGAGGCAGGCCCTTAGGTTAGGTTAGGTAGGAATGTCAGAACCGCCGCCCTAAAGCGACCCAAAGAAAAAGAAAACACGTCAGCACATCCTCAAGGGCGACAATCGCGGAGGCCCTCTCCAGTCGCTGGCCTCACCGATGACGATGCCACAAAGCTCACAGGAGCGCAAAACCGACACCAACATCAAGCAAGCGGTTCTCGTCTCCGCCTTCGCGGCCGCCCTCCTGGCCGCGTCGCCGACGCCCAAGCTGGTGCTTGCACCGCTCGCCTTTGTCGCTCTCATCCTCTTCGTCAAGCTCTTCGAGCTGTACGAGTCCGCCACCCGCATCCGGCCGCTCGACGTTCCCACGCAGACGGCGGACGAGCTCATCGACTACAGCGCAGCTACTGGCCCACTCTACACCACGGACCCGGCCGGCGAGGCGGTACGAGCCCTCCAGCGCCGCCCTCGAGCCTCTCTGCCCTGCGAGCCCGCCACCTTACCCAAGCCCCGCCCCTCGCGCTAGATCGTGCGCGTCTCCAAGAGCGGCTGGGCGGCGCTCGAGCCAACCTCGCTGCCAAGGCTCTTCAAACAGGCGACCGCGCGCTTCCCAGACAAGCCGGCCCTCCGCGTGGAGGCGGACGGCGTCAACGGCGGCGGCTGGGTGACCTACTCGTGGGCCGAGTACTACGCCGAGAGCCAGAGAGTGGCGCAGTCGCTGCTGGCGCTCGGGCTGGAGGCGCACGACCGCGTCAACATCATCGGCTTCAACTCGCCGCAGTGGTTCATCGCAGAGATGGGCACCCTCCTCGCCGGCGGGGCCGCGGCGGGCGTCTACGCGTCCAACGGCCCCGACGCGTGCAAGTACATTGCGGTCCACTCGTCCGCGCGCGTCATCTTTTGCGAGGGCCTGCAGCAGGTCGACAAGTACCTCGGCTTCCGCGAGCAGCTGCCCGACTGCCTCGCCCTCGTCGTGTGGGGGGGCGGCATCTCGCCAGAAGAGATCGCCGCGCGCGCGTCGCTCCCCCGCGAGGGAGGCCGCCCGCTGCCGGTCTACAGCTGGTCCGACTTCCTCGCGCTCGGCGGCGTCGTGCCGTTGTCGGAGGTCGAGGCGCGCAGCGAGGCGGTGCGGCCGGGCCATGTGGCGACCCTTGTCTACACGTCTGGCACTACCGGCAACCCGAAGGCAGTCATGGTCTCGAATGACAACATGATCTGGACGTCGTTGAGCGCCTCGTCGCCCATCTTTGCCGAGGGCGTCAAGGCGGGAGTCTCTCCGCCCGAGAACCTCAAGATTGTCTCGTACCTCCCGCTCTCGCACGTGCTCGGCCAGATCCTCGACCTGATCGGGCCGATGGTGGTTACCGCCTGCGGGGCAGGGTACGGGCCAGACCTGCTCGCCAGGCACTACATGACGACGTGGTTCGCACAGCCGTGAACAGCGTCTCTTCACACCTGCAGCTGTGAACAGGCACTACATGACGACGTGGTTCGCGCGCCCCGACGCGCTCAAGAGCAGCAGCAGCCTCAAGAGGACGCTCGTCGCCGCGCGACCGACACTCTTCGTCGGCGTGCCCCGCGTCTGGGAGAAGATCAAGGAGGGGATCCAGCAGGTGGGGAAGAAGACGCCCGCGCCGATCAAGGCGGTCTCCGACTGGGCGAAGCGGCTCTCGCTCGCGGCGGCGCTGGACCGGCAGGTTGGGCGCGAAGCGAGGCGCTCGCTCCCCTTCCTGATCGCGCGCCACGTCGTGCTGAACCGCATCAAGGCCGCGATCGGGCTCGACCAGTGCCTCGTCCACTACACGGGATCCGCGCCGATGGGGCGCGACGTCTTCGACTACTTTGCCTCCCTCGACATCGACATCCTCGACACGCTCGGCGCGTCCGAAGCGAGCGGGCCGACGACGCTGAACACGCCGATGATGCACCGCCTCGGCACGCTCGGCGCCCCGATCCCCGGCGTCGAGGTGTCGGTCGACCACCAGCCGGGCCGTGACAAGCCCGGCGAGGGTGAAATCATCTATCGGGGGCGGAATGTCTGCATGGGCTACATGAACGACGAGGCAAAGACGGCGGAGGCGATCGACAAGGACGGCTGGTTCCACTCTGGCGACGTTGGCTCCTTCGAGGACGGGCTGCTGCGCATCACCGGCCGCATCAAGGAGCTGCTGATCACGGCGGGAGGAGAGAACATCGCCCCTGTGCCGATCGAGGAGCGGCTCAAGGAGCTCTGCCCCGCCCTGTCCAACGCGATGCTCGTCGGCGACAAGCGGAAGTACAACGTGGTGCTGCTCACGGCCAAGACAGTGCTAGACCTCGCGACCGGCCTCTCCACGGGCACGCTCGCCCTCGAGGCCCTCGAGGTCTCCTCCGCCGCCACCGACGCCGAGGCGGTCGCCGAGTCGCAGCGCGCCGGCGCGGCGTGGCAGCGGTACATCCAGCGAGGGATCGACGAGTACAACGCAACGTACGCCGTCTCCAACGCGCAGAAGATCCAAAAGTTCGTCTTGCTGCCGGGCGACTTTTCGGAGCGCGGCGGCGAGCTGACGCCGACGCTCAAGCTCCGCCGCGCCGCCGCCGTCGAGAAATACGCCGCTGCGATAGAGCGCCTCTACTCGTGATGCGAGGGCAAGCACACCGACACTCTCGTGACAAAGCTGACACGTGACAGAGCCGTCCACTCCGACTTCACAGTTCCAGTGTTCCACAGACCGCACGCGCGCACACGGTGCGGCTCGGTCTCTAGCACCCGGTCGTCGATAGCCGTATCCGCAATCCGGTGAGTGCGCCGCGCGACGGGGTCGAGTGGGGCTGGGCGTCTCGCGCGAGAACGACACACGCTCCCTCGTCCCCGCGCGTGTTTGTTTATTTGTGAGCTGTGGTACAGGTTTAAAAGGTAAGGTAACAACGTCCCTCCGCACACTCCACGCACACCACGCACAATCCACAAACGACAAAGTCAAAGATCAAAGTGTGGTGGGGGGGGCAAGCAAGCTGCAAGGGGGCAGGGCCAGGGGGGGCGGGGAGGGCGAGACCCCCTCAAGTGGAAGTGCATCCCTGAGCTGTGGTACGCTGCTACTGGTCTAGTGTGGACACTAGTAAGTTTGAGCCGTACAGGGGAGAGGCGCCGACACGCGACCCACTCTCACACCGGGGCCCCGCCTCGCTCACAGGAAGAACGCGGCTCGCACGTCGGCGAGGACGTCGGCGAGAGTCTCCGAGTCCTCGACGCCGGCCAAGTCGCGCTCCGCCCGCGAGAGGAAGGGGCGGAGCTCGGCCTCGCGGAAGAGCCTCTGCTCGACAATCTGCCGAAGCAGGGTCTCGAGCAGCAGCGCGCCGCGGCCGCCGCTTGCTGCCTCCTCCGCCCTCGCAGCCGCCCCTCCGCCCACCCCTCGCCGGGCGACGCCCGCCGCCGCCGACCCGCGGCGCGAGTCGGGCAGCAGCGGCTCGCGCCTCGCAAGCTCCGCCGTCCTCTGCGCCCGCCGCGCCGCAACCTCCCTCCAAACCAGCTCCGGCGGCAGTGGCGCCGAGGCGCGCATCTGGTAGGGCGGCCGCATCTGCTGCATCGAGAGGCGCGACGCCTGCCTCGCGATGCGGCGCTCCATGTGCATGCGCCGCCTCGCGTGCGCCTCCAGCGACTCGTCGCGCCGCTGCCGATTCTCCGACAGCCGGCGGGATAGTTCCTGCGGCGACGTGCCGGGTGCCCACTGGTTGTCGACGCCCGAGCGCGGCGGCGGCGGTGCGGGCGCCGTCCGGCGAAGGCCTTCGACATCTCTGGTGGTGGTGAGCTGTGAAGGGCGCCGCTGCTGCGCCTCTCTGAGCTGCGCCAGGCGGCGGCCGTGCTCGCGCATGCGCTCGATATAGCGGTCTCGTCCGCCGAGAGACTCGATGAAGTCGAAGGCCGTCGAGTCTCGGGGTAGAGTGTGCGAGGTCATGGCACCGATCGGAAATCAAGACCACTCAGCCACTAGACTGACCTGCCGAGCGAGAGCTAGCAAAAAAGAATTTAAAAACCGCACTCTCTCTCACAGCTGACAGGCTCGACACAGGTGCGGAACTGGCGCGTGCTAGTACTATCACCGGCACACCACCGGAGCCTAAGCGACTCCGTTAAGAACGGCAATGCACTTAGCAGCGTGCACAATTCTTTAAGCGTTGGAGCCCGTAGCCCGATGCCGATCATCCGGCTCGCTGGGTGCGCTTCTCAGCTCCCCGGCCCTGGATGTGAGGTTGATGACTGCACTCCAAGTGCTCCAAGTTGGAAAAACGTGCCAGCGTATATCGCAGAATGTGACGACTTCAATTCATCACACACGGCATCACACTTGGCACCGCGCAGAGAGTCTCGCGCAGCCTTGCCCGCGTCACGGACGACCCCTCGCTCACGTTGTTTTGGAATTGCGGGCGCACGCTGTAATTGTATCTCCCGGGGAGATTTCGATCTAGGGATAGCAGACTGGAGCCGCCGAGATGCTCGACACCGCCGTGCGCCGCCGGCGGGATCCAGTCTAGGATCCAGTGGAGGAAGTCCTCCTTGCCGGCACCTAACTTGATTCCCAAGGGCGTCAAGGGCAGATTGTTCTGGCTCATGACGTCCGTCATCATCGACAGGTGCAATCCGAAGCGCCGCTGCAGCGCGAAGCGCAGCACCCACGAGGGCAGACGGAAGTGCGCGCGGGTCGGGATCGCGTTCACGAGCGCCGAGGTCTTGTGCCTTTTTGTGCCTCTGTATGTGGAATGTGTGCTCTGTGTCTGTCGGCCGTTGTGTGTTTTAGATGAACGAACCGTCCCCCCTAGGGGTTTCCGAAACAAGATTCGTGCTGCCTCGCACAAAAGCACCGGGCAGTCGATCGCCTCGCACCGGATGTCGGGAATGTCGCGATCCGTCGCGATCGTGCTCGCCCCGTGCAGCGCATGCACGGTGCCGCGTCGCCTGCTGCCGTCGGCACTGGCGCCGGGCCTGGCGGCACTGGCGGCAGCGGTCCCGGCGGCAGTGGCGGCGGCGGGTCTGGCAGCGGCACTGGTGGCGGCAGGCCTGGCTGCTAGCAGCGGCACTCCCCTTGCCCCACCACCTCGCGTGTGTGGAGAAGTTTACCTTGCCTTACCTTAGACGGGCGCGCCCGACGTAATGCCTCCGAGCGTACCGCCCGCGTAGTTGGACGAGACGCCGAGCGCGGGTTGCCTAGTACCATACCTCCAGAGTACCGAATCCAGTGTGGGTTCATCTCCGTGGGTGGTGCGGTACTGGCGCGCGCGTGTGTGGGGCTGTAGCCTGTGTTTGGCCGCTCCGACCCGTTCACTATCAGAACCGTGCCTGGGCCACAAGAATCGCACACGGGGAGCGGCTCAGGGGCCCAGTAAGCCGCGGAATCGCCAAATGTCACAACCCACCTCACCCCGGGCTGGACCTAGTCGAACGCGAGTAGGTCCGTCGGAGTACCGCGGGGAGACTACGGCTGCTCTTGCCCGGCGCGAACCCGGAACCCCGATCGTTCTCCTTGTCGTCGTTGTCTTGTTGCCGTCTTATTTTTGGCCGTGCGTTTTGGTGTGTCAAACCGGGTGGTTGAATACGATCAATGATACATTACCACGCGGCGCTTACACAAATGCCAATTGGCTCCAGCCACAGGCACAGCGAGAGACCTCTCGGGTTCTCGCGCTAGTGAACTGGAGGAGAAGCGGGTCGAGCCTCGGCGCAGAGGGCAGCCTAGCGGGCGGGAACCCTTACCCCGCGCCCGCCGCTGCCCGCCGCTTTGTGCGCGGATCCTCCGAGCGCCACGAGGCTCCTGACACAGCTCCCGACTAGCGTCGGCTCCTGCTCAGACAGGCGCCAACCTATCAGTTCTCAAAGCGCCTAAAGCAAAACAAGGAAAACTGCGAAATTTTCTCTTTTCTTTCTTTCTGTATACAAAATGCGCCTGGCGGGCGGACCTTCTCAGCTCACAGCTCACTCCCGCTCCCACACCTCGATCTTCTTGGGCAGCAGCTGGCTCGATAGGTCCTCTCCGTGGCCTAGGCAGCGGTACTCGCCCTCGCCCCAAGCAAAGACAGCGCCATCGGCCGTGATGGCGACGCTGTGGTCGACTCCAGCCGACACAGCGACGACGCGCTGCCCTGCAAAGGCCTCGATCTTCTTCGGTAGCGGCTGGGTCTGCAGGTCGCCGTGGCCCAACATGCCAAAGGCTCCATTGCCCCAGCTCCAGACGGCGCCATCAGCGGTGAGGGCGAGGCTGTGGTAGTATCCTACCGACACAGCGACGACGCGCTTGCCAGCGAAGGCCTCGATCTTCTTGGGCAGGAGCTGGTCCTGCTGGTCGCCGTGGCCGAGGCGGCCAAAGCCTCCATTGCCCCAGCTCCAAAGGGCGCTGTCGGCGGTGAGGGCGATGCTGTGGCGGGCTCCAGCCGCCACCGCGACGACGCGCTGGCCGGTAAAGGCCTCGACCTTCTTCGGCAGCAGCTGGCGCTGCTGGTCGCCGTGGCCCAACCGGCCTCGCTCTCCACTGCCCCAGCTCCAGACGGCTCCGTCGGCGGAGAGGGCGAGGCTGTGGCCGCCTCCAGCCGACACAGCGACGACGCGCCGCCCAGCCAAAGCCTCGATCTTCTTGGGAAGCAGCTGGTTCTGCTCGTCGCCGTGGCCCAGCTTGCCTGTGGCTCCCCAACCCCAGCTCCAGAGGGCGCCGTCGGCGGAGAGGGCGAGGCTGTGGCCGCCTCCAGCCGAGACAGTGGCAACGCTCTGCCCAGCCAAGGCCTCGATCTTCTTGGGCTGCCACTGGTCCTGCACGTCGCCGTGGCCCAGCCCGCCCAAGCCTCCAAAGCCCAAGCTCCAGACGGTGCCGTCAGCGGCGAGGGCAAGGCTGTGGCCGCCTCCAGCCGACACGCTCACGGCGCGCTCGCCGCCCAGCGTTGACGGAAGGCGGGTCGGCGTGTTGAGCCGCAGCACGCCCTCGCCGTGACCGAGAAGGCCTGCAAAGTCCACCGCGTCGTCCTCCTCGTCCTCCTCGCCCTGTGCTGCCGTGCCGCACGACGCGAGCCGCCCCTCGCCGTCAATGAAAAGGCTGTGCCGCCAGCCTCCTGCCGCCCTCGCCGGCGGGTTGGACTCGCACAGCAGCGCAGCGAAGCACAGCCACCGCACGGCGCAGCCCTCGCCCTCTGGCTGCGCCGGCAGCTCGAAGCCGCGCTCTTGCGCCCACAAGCGGATGCCCTCCGCCGCAAGCGAGGCGTGGAAGAGCAGCGAGACGGCCGCGACGCGAGCGATGTCGGCGGGGTCGCAGCGAGAGAGGGCGCGCGCGATGAGCTCCGTGGGGAGGTCGAGGAGGCGGGCGGGCGGCGGCGTGCTTTGCGAGGGGGCGGCGGTGGCGGCGGCGGCGAGGCGGCGCGAGCGGCGGCGCGGCGGGGTGGACATCGCGAGAAAAAGAATTCCCGCGCAGCCATGGCGGGCGCGCCGCGGCCGCGCGCACCCTTCGTCACAATGCCAACCGCGCGCGGCCGTCGACCGGCAAGCACACGCCTCGACTCGGACACACTGCTCCGAGGGCAAGGGAGAGGGGCTGGCGGACTCGGGGCCGGTGCTTTGACGCAGCATGCCCTCATCGCTGCTCGAGCGCGTAAGGACCAGCGCGGAGACGGTCCGGCCCACCTTCCTCTTTTTTCGCGGCTCGACATGGAGCCATCGCCCCGGTGAGACCAACTACGGGGAGGGCGTGCGGCTCACGCTGCAGCGTGCGCTCTCCACCTTTCAGCTGCCGCGGCACATCTCGGTCGAGCGCTCGCTCTCACCATTGAAGGTTACGCCCCGCCTCAAGAAGCAGCGGGCCATCTTCTCCGAGGACCCGGTGTCTCTCCCCCTCTACCTCGAGGAGATGAGCCTCTCCGACTTTTGCCTCTGCCCGATGGGCTCGACCTCGTGGACGCTGCGCATGTGCGCCCACCCCCCCTCCCCCCCTCCTCCCCTCCTCGTCCGTGCCGTCGCGCGAGAGAGAGCTTGCGGGCGCGCCCACAGTTTGTGAACGAGAGTCTCACTCAGTTGGGATCTTCCCAGTCCACCAAGCACCAGAAAACTCATAAAAACAGAGCAGGCATCTCACCAGAAAATTAAGAAAGAAAGAAAACAGGCAACCCAGGGTTTCGGAGGCGGCGGCACGCCGCCACACCAGAAAAATCACGAAGTCGGAAATTATGACCGTAAATTCTTTCTCGGGAAGCCGTCGCCCGCGAACACTTCTCTCCCCGCGCCTTGCCTGTCGCGTGAATCGTATAAATAAATAAATAAAACGGACACACCAAACAAGGGGCGGGAGAAGGATGACAGGGTCCCCACCTGCGCGAGCAGGATCTTGGAAAGACGATCAGGGACACAAGTGGGCGACCGTTCTCTTTTTCGGGGTCGATGTTAGTGGCAAAACCGCGCCGCTTGGGGCGCCTGCGGCGCCCTTGGGCGCGCTGCGCGCGCCTGTTTTGGGGGGGCTAGAGCTCTACCAGCACCCAAAAAATGCCTCTTTTTCGCCAAAAGCTACAGAGGCTCTTGGAGAGCCTGTGGCCGGCGCCTTGCCCGCCGTCTCGGTTGCTCTGGAGCGGGCGGAGACACGCGAGCTGCTCGCTTCGATGCCGCTGCGAAGTCCGAGCGACTCGGACCTCGAGAGTTACAAATCAGAGCAGCCTCTCCTCTCGCCCGGCAAATCCAACCCTGCCGAAAAGAGTTCGAGCGCGGGTCATCGGCCGCCGACGGCGGCCTTCCCGGACGAGCCGCTGCGACCAAAGGCTGGCGCGGCTGCGATGGGTGTGGCGGCGCTGCTGGTTGCGGGCTACCTGCTGCTGGGGAAGCGGCACGTGAGCAGCAGCTGGCACACGTCGCACGTCTTCCCGCGCGTCGGCGGCGTCACGGGCACGTCGTATCAGCGTGAGGGCGGGCACGACCCGGGAGGGTTCGCGCTGTGCAGGCAGCTGATCGGCGCGCTGCTGATGGCGGCGCTCGGCTACTGCCGCGAGGGGTCCAGCATCTTTGCCCTGAGGAGGAGCGACCACCGCGCGATTGCTAAACTCGGCGCGCCGTCCGCCCGCTCCGCCTGCCGACGAGCGGCGACGCGCGAGGCGGCACGCGCGTGCACTGGTCCGCGGCCTGCCCCCCGCTGTAGGCGTGTTCCACTACCTCAACTCCGTGCTCTTCATCTGGGGCTTCAAGCTCTCCACCCCCTTCTTCGCCTCCGTGGTGCGGCTGTGCCTCCTCCGCCCGCCTCCGCCCTCCCCTCCTCCTCCTCCGCCTCCTCCGCCCCCTCCCTCCTCCTCCCTCCTGCTCCCTCCTCCGCCCTCCACCCCCTTCTTCGCCTCCGTGGTGCGGCCCTGCCGTCCCCGACCCGGCAAGAGACACGTCCATGACACGTCCATGACACGTCCGCGACGGTCCCACGACGGTGGCCCGCAGGCGCAGCTCTCGATCCCCGTGATGACCTTCGTCTACACCGCGCTGGCGGGGCTGGAGGTGCCCACGTGCCTCCGCACCACAGGCTCGCAGCCCCCGCTCACACAACTCTTCCTCGGCAGCTGGGAGGGAAGAGCTGGGAGGGAAGAGCCGTGGAGGCGAGGCGGAAGGGCTGCGCCATCGTCGCGCAGATCCGCTCCTCGCCGCAGTCTCATCGCGACGAGCTCGGCCATCTCTCCCCAGACCTCCCCAGACCTCCCCAGACCTCCCCAGACCTCCCCAGACCTCCCCAGACCTCCCCAGACCTCCCCAGATCTCCCCAGATCTCCCCAGACCTCCCCAGACCTCCCCAGATCTCCCCAGACCTCCCCAGATCTCCGCCGCCTCAGCCCAAGCTCGACCCCCCTCCCCCTGCCCGCCCGTGCCACAGGCGTCTGCCTGATCTCCCCACATCTGCCCTGATCTCCCCACATCTCCCCGTGCCACAGGCGTCTGCCTGATCTCCCCACATCTGCCCTGATCTCCCCACATCTCCCCGTGCCACAGGCGTCTGCCTGATCGTCCTCGGCTGCCTGCTGACCGCTCTCGGTGTGGGGAGATGTGGGGAGATGTGGGGAGATGCGGGGAGATGTGGCTGCCTGCTCTCGGCGCCTCCGCCTCCCTCGGAGGCAGAGACGCGACGTAGCGAGGCGAGTTCCCCTCTCGCCCCTGCCGCCGCCCTCAGGCTCCGCCCACCACGAGCATGCCCCCGCCGCCGGGGCTGCCGCCGGGGCAGCGGGCAGCGGTAGCCCGCCAGTGCCCGCGAGTCTGTGGGTCGGCGCGGGCTTCCTGCCGCTGCAGTCGGCAAGCTGCCGGAGCTGGGGCTTGACTTGGCGGAGGGGGACGGACGAGTAGGCGTGGGCTGCCCAGGAAGGGTCCAGGAACCTTCTAGGCACCTTCTAGGAACCTTCGAGGCACTTGGCGAGTAGGCGTTGGCTGCCTCGCGCTGCAGACTGGCTCTTTCTCGGGGCTGCTCGTGCTGCAGAAGGCGAGATCGCACGAGATCGCACGAGATCGCACGAGGTCACACGAGGTCACACGAGGCCGAGGGGCGGCGGAGATGCGGCGGAGATATAGCCGAGGCACACACCTCGAGGCCACCTCGTCTCGCTCGCGGTCACATCTCGAACCAATCTCGGCCCGTCTCGGTCCATCATCTCGAGCCATCATCTCGAGCCATCATCTCGACCCCTCTCGGAGCAGGCGCTGGTGCAAGCCTACCCCGTCGCGCTTGTGGTTGCGTGGGGATACTCGGCGCTCCCCACCCTCTTCATGCGACGTGTTTTGACCCTATCGCTGTACCTACCATTGCTCGCGAACCTCCTACTATGATTCTAAGAAA